CGGGATTAGTTTCTATTTGTTTCAAAAAATTTTCATTTAGAACAAAGAGTCAATTAATCAAATTTTCCTAAGGAAAAAAAAATTTAGGCAATGCATGGGTGAAGAGTGGGGAAACCCAGAGGCACAAACTCTGAAACTCACAGCTGTGCTTTCACATCTTGAAATAAATGTTTCCAAGAATGGAGGCTTCCGTTGTTCACATTTAAATCTCGAATCATGTAAAACTCAGTGACAACTTCATTTTCAAAGTCAGAATCCTTGTTTAGGATACTTAAATCTCATATCTAATACTTGGAAGACTTATGAGAAATTCTTTTCAATCCTGAGAGGCTAAATAAGAGAGTTCTATTGGGAGGTAGAGAGAGGGCAAAAGGAAACTGGACTGAGCAAAACCAGAAAATATTTATATGAATGTTCTCAAGTCAATTAACTGACCATATTCGACTCAACTTACATGAGAAAAAAATCACGTGGGGTTCTTGTAAGTGGGACTTAATACACAATTCAGCATTAACACTAGGTCATGTTTAAAATAAATTAATCCAGATTGAAAACATTTGGCCACTAGGAAAACCAGAGTTTTTGCTCAAGGTTGTTCAATCTGATGGCTTTCTAAGTAGTGGTGGAAATGACATGGGAAGAAATATACAAGATTCGTTAATGCAGAAGCATCTCCTTTTGAACTGGTAGATCCTAAAGCTCATTTTATTTTTCACTTGACTCTTCAAATATTTGGAAAATATCCAAAAAGTAAAAAAACCTTGTTTTTTTTTTTGTAGTTTCTACTACAGAAACGATTTCTAATTTTTTACTTGCATATATTTATGCATATGTCGTGACACAGTATAAGCAAATTTCAAGGTTAGTGTAGCCAATCCAAATTAGTGTCATAAAGGTAAAAGGGAGAGGCTGTTTCTCATCAAGATGCATCCAGTGAAGACCAAGGACTCATTTTAATGACTTGTCAGAAAGGCGCTAACTGGTAAATAGGCATCACACCCAACTCCAGGTTGAATGATCAAACTGCTGATGTTATAGCTTCGATGTCCAACTTCCTCAAAACTTTTATTTTAGTCAAGGTCAAAGTCATCTTGGGTGGCTGACTATGCTCCCAGAAGTAAAATTTGAGACCCAATTTCTCCACTTGCCACAATCTGCATCATCCAAACTTTTTCAAGGATCTGATGCTTCTAAAATGAACAATTTAGCTCGATTTCTTTTGAGTTGGCTGCTAGAAGTTAGGGCCTGATTTGTAGCCTGGTTCTAACATGCATTTTGTGTACAAAGTTCACTCCTGATTTAATACTGTTTTCTCCTTTGTTTCCCCTTTACTTACTTATCCTACCTAAATTTCGTCGTGTTGCACCATTATGTAGCTCTGTAAGCCCTCCTAAAAACTTTCTGGGAAAAGGCAATGCATCAACAAACTATCTAAGTTTTACCATAATCAGGATAAAAGTGAATACGCATACTATATCACAGGCTGATTCAGGTCAAAGATCTCAGAGATTTTAAAAGGGAAACATTTCTTAGCAAATTCATATTCTGTAAGATAAAATTCAACTTATAGAAATCTGAATTTCAGTAGTTAAAAGTAAATGTAAGATGGATTCAAACTGCCCCTAATGAATGCTTTCCAGAAGTTTCTGAATTTCCAAAAAGGTTCATGAAAAAATTGAATGATTCAGGTTTTAAATAAAGTCTGCCTGGAGAGGTGCCTGGCCATGGTACGTTATAGCATACAGGATAACCAGAGGTGGAATCTTTATTTCACAGGTTTCAAGATACAGTACAAAACGAATCTGTACATCTCTCTATTAACAGGATTTGTTTACACAATTATATTACACTTCACCAGCCTTTATACTGAATTTAATTAAATACAAAATAAATTTACAAAAAGTCTACCATGGTGTTCTTTCCAATGCCAGTTTAGTCTTTTAAAACGTCTCCTAAATATTGATAGTGGTTACACCTTGATCGTTATCAATATTATGATTTTTTTTTTTAATCAAAGAGAATAGTGTCATCTTGTTATTCCAAACAGGAAAGCCGGTGCATGCGAGGTGACTCCCTGCACACAACCTAGACATCCTTCTCACGCACAAATCAGGTTTTTACTTGTGCAAATAGTCACTTTAAAAATACAAATCATTTTTACTTGGAATATTTTCAATTTTCTTGAAATATCAAGTGAAGGGAGAAATTTAGCTTCTTTTCGAGGACTACTACACATTTAAAAATCAGGTAGTGCCTCTGACGATATTCAGAAATTTTGTATTTTCATTTGTATTTGAGAGCAATGACTGATGAAAAGTATTTTCGTGAAAATGTTTCTTCTGCCTTATTTCTTGCACAGTTGTAGTCATAATATTGTATAACATAATTAAATTCACTTTCAAGACAAACACTAGCTGTTATTGGGACAAATGCAGCCCACGTTGCTCTTCTTGGTAGGTAAAGGGGCTGTTTCTCTGAAGCATTTTTTGTTTTGAAATGTGCATGTGAAATGTTAGTCCAAACCTCTGAAAAAGGTTTTTTGCAGATGTAGCTAGACAATATAATACACATGCTACACACATGAAGAGCTGTGGTCTTCATTTATAGGCTTGCATGCATACTTCCAAAACACTGGTTTGAAGAACATGAGGAGCAAAGAAAGGGAGAAAAAAAAAGCTTCTGCAAAATACTTAAGTTTCCTGGAGGCAACAGCAGCTCCTTAATTAAATAAAGCAACAGATCATGGCCAGATCACCAGCAGAAGTTTCTACAACTTCCCAATGGTACAGAGATAAAATGGCTTAGCAGTAAAACTCTCACAAATTAACCTTATATGCAGAAGGGTAACACATCCTCGACAGTATTAAGATTAATGACTCACAAGTTCATCTAAATGCTAAATAATAATGAATTTTGAAAAAAAGAAACCTTTTGGTTTATTTTTCTGTGCCATTGGATATTAACCAAAAATAAGATAAGCCTTACCCAGAATACAGAAACAAAAGTCCAAAAACAAAAAGGAAAAAAAAATAAAAACCAAACCCCAAACCCCAAACCCCAATGCTACCTTTGTTAACATAAAACAGCAAAACAGATAGTCTCAAGACTGGAACAGTTGACTAACCAAGAAACCAAATGCACAAGAGAATAGAAGCTAAGTAGAGTACTATTGTCATCACCTTGGAAGGCAGGAAGGCAGACTATAAAAGGGATCAGGAGAGAAGGGCTACCACGGAGAAATGAAGCTGTACTCTAACTGCTAGCTCTAAATTCTAACATTAAAACTCCTGAATCCTGGAGTTAGTTTAATGTCACTGACATTAACTAGCTTTAGTTACTGTCATTTTATTCAAATGGATGCCATTTGATTAGGTAGGTATTGAGCATTATTTTAGGAGAAACACCAAACCCAGTTCCTATTTGCTTAGGTATCATGTCCCTTGTACAGAATGAAAAAGGGAGCAAAGTATTTTGAGACAGTCTTTAAACAAAGCCATAGGAACGAAGTTATTTTAAATTTACCATTCAAATTTCCAGTAGCAAATGACCCAGGGTAAAACAGGAGGTGGACAAAAGCCAAGAAAAAGATCTATTTGGGAGATTAATAAAAAGGACATGGCTAGTTGTACACTAACGGGAAGTTATTGCCTGGAGAACAAGACCACACTTTCCCACCTGCCTCTGGGTAGTGTACACTGCTTTAAGAAATGTTTTTTCAAAGTACTAACAGAGGGAAGTAAAGATAGAGATAAGAATGCTGCTAAAGGGCTTCCCTGGTGGCGCAGTTGTTGAAAGTCCGCCTGCCGATGCAGGGGACACGGGTTCGTGTCCCGGTCCGGGAAGATCCCACATGCCGCGGAGCGGCTGGGCCCGTGAGCCATGGCCGCTGAGCCTGCGCGTCCGGAGCCTGTGCTCCGCAACGGGAGAGGCCACAACGGTGAGAGGCCCGCGTACAGCCAAAAAAGAAAAAACCAAAAAAAACACAATGCTGCTAAAGGAAAAATTAGGTGGATGGTAGAAAAACATGGAAGTTTAGTTGTTCAAGTTTTAAATACATTAAAACAGTTCCTTTGAAATGAAGCGTGGCTGCTACTGTGGATCATACTTATTTTGAAGGTTGGGGGAGAACAGGCAGGGGTGAAGACACCAACATACTGTACCGACTGTACTCAAATCTCTAATGTAAGAGATCAAACAAGTCTTAATATTTACATGAGCTGCCCAAAGCAACATTACACTTCTGAGGGTAAAATTTCTTACCTTTCAGATCTGCATTTATACATATGGTTCTTGCTATCATCACCTCTTCCTATTTAGAAGCAGTTATCTAGGAGGAAAGTTTGCTTACCAGGTTTCTCATAATAACTCCGAACACCAAAAAAGCACACTACTCCACATTTAGAGCCTTCATGTTCATTACAGACTAATTCACTCTAGTTCTAAATACAATCTCTACTTCAAAAACCAAAGTCTTACAACTCTTCAAGTTTTCTGGCAGATAAGGGGTTATGGAAAAAGAGTATAAAGATTAATATAAACAGATGAGGTCAGCAGGCACAGAAAGCCTGCTCAGACACTAAGAGAGCCTCAGACCAGATACAGGCTGGTGAACGCTGCCATCCAACAACAAAAAGGAATGCAACTTGGTTGAAGTTTTAATTTTTTCATTTGTGGTATGTGACCTTCTCTGTTTTCTTTGTTGTTGCTGTCATTGTTGCTTCCTGTAGTACTTAACCAGACAATTCTGAAGTGTAATAGCCTTGATTTTCCTGATGCGAACACTGGGAGGGTGTGAATACGAAAGCTAAGCAAGTGGCTGATCTTCTACTGTAACATCAAACTGCAGAAATAAAAATCTCCCTGAACAGTACAAACAGGCTTTGGCTTTCCTCAACCATTGATTTTAATGCATCTCAGATTCTCTGAGTGTTAGTATTGTAATGGTAGTCACTGTATGCCATAGCTTGGCAACAATATTTCATATTTTAAAAATTCAGGAGGGTGGTCTGTTCTTTTGCAATAAGAAATGCAAAGTAAAATAAATCCTGGGAACAAATGCTTCAACTTTTGGGAAAGTGTGTCTGTGATCCTGGTATCCCACTCAGAGTTCTTCAATATTGTTTCCTAATCTCTCCCCTTTAGTCCATCCTCTGGCTTCCAGATAAAGGCTCTGTATACTCAAAACAAGCAAGCAAATTACATTGAGTAATTTGGGGCAAGTTCACGTGTTAGCTCAAGAAGTCAGTTCACAATGTTTTCTATATATTCCATTCCAAGGAAATGAAGTTCACATAAAACTCTTTAACATGGCCTTTCCGTCTTTGAAGGAGAGAAGTATGGTATAAAGTATGACAATCACCAACAGTAAGAAACCTCCCAACCTTGCCTTTTAAAGTAACAAATATGCTGAATACGTATACTTGCATGTGGCCTGGTAAAAGTTCCTCGGTTAACGCAGTTCTGAAACACTCTGAAGACTTTTTTTTTTAACTTAAAACGCAAGTTCTATTTTCAGGCTTTCAAACATGTTAAGGTTAAATCTGCAACTAACTGGGTTTTCCTTTTTACATCCATCAGTTTTTAGTGTCGACGCATGAGACCTTAAAGATGGTTGACAGAACTTATGCACATTGAAAGAATGACCAAAAGGACCCAAGAAAGATAGCTGGACACAGCAGACATTACCTTGAGTGTCTCACATGTTTCCAGGAAAAAAAAAAGGGGGGGCAGGGGAGCCACTGAGAGTTGTTATTCCATACGGCACTGAAACGGACATTCAACTCAGTTTAGGTAAGAGTTACTTATCCCTGAAAATAAAGGCATCAGATTCTAAGCAGCTTGAGGAATTCAATGCTTCCTTGTGCCTCTTCCAGGAGGTGGCCACTGATCCAAAGTCCTAAATCAAATGCAAGTGTTCTTGGTAAACGATTTCCTTGTTTGTCACTGGTCAAGGCTGGCCGCCGTGGGTCACTGTGGTGGCTGCTGCTCGGGCGGCCCCTCCTGCTGTGGTGGTGCTGGCCGTGGCCCGGGAGGCCTGGGGACAGGCATGTCCTGGTGCTGCCTCTGCCTGTAAGCAATAACTGTCCCCAACAGCAATGCGATGATGGTCATGAGGTAAAGGTCCCACTCAGGTCCCAAAAGCTGGTCCATATCAAGCTGGGTGAACAGATCTCGAAGCTTAATGAGAAAAGTATAAAAATCATTATGATCATTAAAATGTTAATACAAGGAGCTAGGAAAGTTACATCACAGATTAGAGATAAGTACAGAATTTATTAAATCAATTGGTTTTAGTAACATTTTCCAATGTGTTCCAAAAAAAAGGGTTTTACTGAACACAGAACTACCATATGACCCAGCAATTCCACTCCTGGATATATATACGAAAAAACAGAAACACTAATTCTAAAAGATACATGCACCCCAATGTTCATAGCAGCATTATTCATAATTGCCAAGATGTGGAAACAACCTAAGTGTCCATCAACAGATGAACGGATAAAGAAGATGTGGTACATATATACACAATGGAACATTACTCAGCCATAAAAAAGAATGAAATTTTGCCATCTGCAGCAAAATGGATGGACTTGGAGGGCATTATGTTAAGTGAAATAAGTCAGACAGAGAAAGACAAATAGTGTATGATATCACTTATATGCAGAATCTAAAAAATACAACAAACTAGTGAATATAACAAAACAGAAGCAGGCTCAGATATAGAGAACAAACTAGTGGTCATCAGTGGGGAGAGGGAAGAGGCGGAGGGGCAATATAGGGGTAGGAGACTAAGAGGAACAAACTATTAGGTATAAAATAAGCTACAAGAATATATCATACAACATGGGAATTATAGCCACTATTTTATAACTATAAATGGAGTATAACCTATAAAAATTGTGAATCACTATATTGTACACCTGTAACTCTACATAGTATTGTATATCAATTATACTTCAATTAAAAAAATAAAAATAAAACCCACCAGACTTTAACAAAGGATCCAATCTAATAAAATTAAGGACAAAACAAGACAAAAATATAAAGACAATGAGTTCAACTGAAAAATAAGAAAGTTTTAAAAGCCTTCAACTGAAACTCAAAATAATGTCTGAGTACCAGAGCTATGGTTCCTTTCCATCAATAACCTAATGCACTGATTTCCAATCATTTTTCACAGGAAATATTTGAAACAAACACTGGGGACAATGGAGGACCAAGGGGGGGTGGAAATCAGTATCTTGGCACACCTCACCTATAACCTATTTCTAGTGTTGACACACTAGCTAAAAAGCTCTCTTCTAATGAAAGCAGGGCTATTTTACTACTTCTCTCATGTAACTGAAGATGACAGGAATTCAGAAGTTTAATAGCTGAACAAATAATGCTTTTTAGTTAGGATTTAACTAAATATTTAACAACTGAAATTGAACTTAAAAGTTATTTTCTTCATCTATGATATTTTAATTGTTTTAATGTCACTTAAGTTATTCCTGGTATTTTCTGACTGCTACTTACCCATAAAGAAAGTAAATATGGGGCATAATCCATTATGTATAAATAAAATTACATTTAAAAGGTCCCCATAATATAATATTTGTAGGTACAGGTGCTAAAATTTTTCTGGAAAAAAAATAACAAACTATTAACTGTGTTCCCTGGGGTGGGACCCGCAATAGGAGACTTTGTTTTTCTGTATTTTTTGACTTTCTTACCATCAGTACTTATTACTCCTTTTTCTTTTAAAGTTGGAATATCTAGGTGGTAGGATTACGGGGCATTTTATTGTCTTCTTGAAACTTCTGTATAAAACACAACTTAACATGGTGTATTACATAACCAAATCCTAGACTGTAATCAGTAGTTTATTAGTAATAAAAACTGTGAGAGACAAGGGTCTGAAATAGTCCTGAGAGAGAAAGAGCAGGCGGCCACAATGTTAGCTTTTCAGTTAAAGGAACAAAGATCCTTTCAGTTAACGGAGCGTACAGCATACCCTGGCTCACGCTATTGAACAATTATAAATTTGACATTACAAATGTATAAGCAATCAAGAGGACAGAGGTCAACATCTCCAGCCCTCTGGAGCCCTATACGTGGAGGACCTCAGTGTACGGGCTAGGGTTGCAAAAGGGAGAAGTTGTCGAATTTCTCTTTATAGACGCTGAAGCAGCATGGACTAAATTTACATCTGTGTAACAAAGAGGGAAAGCCCCTTCTGGAATCTAGTGCTGAAACTGTGCATCAACTTGTTCTAAAAGATATTAACAAAAGGTTGAAACATCATCCTCTTCTGGTATGGCGTGAATTAAAGTTAAATAGCCCTTCTTTCTGCATACATTTTAGGACTTTCAGAGTTAAATGCTGCACCAGTGAATCCATTAGGAGGAACGATAGGTACTGTAAACAAAACAGAGAACTGGAGACCCCAAGAGCACCAACATTGTGTTGGTAACTAGAGTTGGTAGTTTTGAAGAGAATGGGTAACCCACCCATCTCCTAGCAAAGTTCTATCATTAAGCATATTTAAATAATTCAAGGTATTTTTAAAAAATATAGTTCCAGTGGTATTTTTAACATGTTCCACTATCAGAAGAATCTGAAGTACAAGAGCCTGGACAGGTTCTCAGGTTCTACTTCTTCCCATGTCTTAAATTCTCTTTTTAAGGGGTTGGTCTGAGTCACTGCTAGGCAGTCATCTGATTTAATGTTTACTGGAATTAGTTAACTACTATTTCAAATTGCCATGGTTTAGTCTCAGTTTTCCCTAAACCAGAAAACATCTGCACCAATGAAAAATGCTTTAGCACTGGGAACCATTGTCAAATGTTACCTGGGAACTGTTAAGTGCTTTGTGGCTATACTCATCCCTCACCTGATGAGGTCCCTTCATCTGGGAAGAAGGAAAGAGACCAGACAGTTGCAGGTCCTTCCTCCCCTCCCCCCAACTTTGCAAAAACAAAACTGTGGACTGAGAAGGTTACATCATTTGTATTTTAGTTAAAAGAGACATGGACCACTTACATTTGTTTCCCGTATGTACTGCAAGAAATAGACAATACCCAATTTGCAGAGTGCTAGGAAGACTGGTACTTGTGCATCTGGGCTGGCTTCCGCTGCCATGTCATAAAAACGTTTTGCAAGGTGAATATCCTATAATACAGGTAGTAAACCAAAGTTCATTTCTTGTTAAACTAAGTAAAAATAATTACTATTTATATATTAGGAAAGTTTATTTTACCTTTCAAGTTTCATTTTAAAATTTCCCTTACCTAAAGAAAAAAACCCAAGCTTTAATTAGGTAAAATTTGTTTAATTATCTAACTGCTTAATTTTGAAAAACTTAGTTGAAAAATTTTAAAGTTAACTTGTGTTCCCCTGATCTGACATCCCACTTGCTGTGCAGATACGGTGGACACAGCTATATACCTATGCATAACACTGTTAACCTGGAGACTTCCAGGGGTGACCTGTAAGTCTCAAGTTAATATTTTTTTTTTTTTTTTAATTAATTTTATTTATTTTTGCTGTGTTGGGTCTTCGTTTCTGTGCGAGGGCTTCCTCTAGCTGTGGCAAGTGGGGGCCACTCTTCATCGCGGTGCGCGGGCCTCTCACTATCGCGGCCTCTCTTGTTGCGGAGCACAGGCTCCAGACGCGCAGGCTCAGTAGTTGTGGCTCACGGGCCTAGTTGCTCCGCGGCATGTGGGATCCTCCCAGACCAGGGCTCGAACCCGTGTCCCCTGCATTAGCAGGCAGACTCTCAACCGCTGCGCCACCAGGGAAGCCCTCAAGTTAATATTTTCCTACTTATAACCTGTCAGTGTAAGCAATTCCTGGTTTCAGTCTACAACAGTGATCTTCAAACTGGGGTAGACATACTCAAAGTTTTCCAAGGGGTGCATGCATGGACAGTGTTAAGGGACTTGCATCCTGTGTTTTCCTGTCTTAGATGTATTTCTATAAAGGGCGAAACAAGTCATTACTAATTTTGGCCCAGGTTGGAGTGCTCTGCATTTAGATAAGTGGTAGAATGGGATGGTGGGAGGTGCAAAATTCTCATTTAACAACCTCACTTCTCCCATCCCCTGACTACTGTCAAAGAATACCAAACTCACAGGTAAGAATTCCATGAGACATGGGAAAGAAAGGCTATACATTAAGACTGACTTTTTCTACATATTTAAATATAAGCAGTTACTTTCAGCTATTCTCTATACTTGTCCCGAAGGTGAATCTTTTTAGTTAAAAAGAAGAGCACCTTCAAATAAAAGTAACAGCATGGTCAGTGCCTTTGACTTTTTAAAAAATGTAACAAATTTTATTTGTAGTAATATTTCAGAAGACTGCCCTGCATCTCTCTCATCCTCGAGCACACACACATATTGATATCTACACTGTTACATTTAGGATATTAAGCCAAAGACAGATTCATGAAAACGGAAAAGTATATTTTTCAAGATTCATGAAAACAGAAAAGTATATTTTTCAAGATCATGCATCAAACTTTACGTGATCCGCAGACTCTGTGTGGATGATTCAATAGGGTAATTAAATCTTATCGACCAATCAAATACTGAATTATTTATTCCAACTATAACCAATCCTCATCTTGTTTAATACTTAATATTTTTCTATCTACACTGGATGCTGGACTTATTAGCTTTTAGAGTATGAGTATCTCTTTTATTTAAAAAAACAGAAAACAAATAAGAAAAGGTGATCATAATGTCTTATAAAAACTAATGAAATTATTCTGATCTTTATACATGATTAATTATTCTTAAAAGCTGAATCCCAGGGTTCTCTCCCCTAATGCTAATCAAAGGAATTCTATCCCTTTTATCATAGTCTTTATTCATAAGAATTTGTATAAGCTTTACATTACAAATTAAATTATGAGAAAAGCACACTGATTAATTTTCTTGTTTTACAGCCTATTATAACAACAGACTGTTATATTACTTTAATTCTGATTGTCTTTAGCAAATTATTACTAAGCATATAAAAACCATAACTTATGGGTAATCTTTACATTAGGCATCAAACCCATATTACTTTTATTTGAATTAACAAAGTCAGACTTTCTGATAGAAACTAAGTCTGATTTGGCTGACTGATCTGACAATGCAGGGAGGCTTCAACAACTATGTTACATGGCAGAGATTGTCCATGAACTGAATGCACTCAGCCTGCAGCTCCAGATTCTTGATAAAACTATATTCAAGTATCTAATATTAATATAAATGTAAAATATCAAAACTTACATATTGGAATTAAAATACTCAAGTGTAATAAAATAAAAAAGCACTTTGACAAAAAACAGTACATTAACAAAATGAAATGAACGACCTTCTAGATTTAAAAGCACATAAGGTCACAAAGAGTCTCTAAGTGACTGAATGAGCAAGGAGTATCATTAGCTATTGATAAGCCTTGAGAAAGCCTTTTAGACATTACTCCCAGAAACTGAGAAAGTATGAGTCCAGTCATCAGGGAACACCTCCTTTTGCAAGTCTCTAGTTTCCAAATCTTTGCTTTCAACAGAACTGAACAGAGGCTTAACCAAGTTATCAAGTGACAGATCATTAGAAATAATTTTAATGACAGATCAGTCTGATTTTTGGCATATGTTATGGACTAAATGTTTGTGTCTTCCCAAAATTCATATGTGAAACCCTACTCCCTAATGTGATGGTATGAGGAAGTGAGGCCTTTGAGAGGTAATTAGGATTGGACAAGGTCATAAGCGTAGAGCTCTCATGAACAGAATTAGTGTCCTTATCAGAATCCCTAAAGAGCTTGCTGCTTCTCTCTCGCTCTTTCCTCTTGAGAGGACACAGAGAGAAGAGGGCCTTCACCAGACACCAAATCTGCTGGCACCTTGATCTTCAACTTCCCAGTCTCCAGAACTGTGAGAAATAAATGTCTGTTGTTCAAGCCACTGCGCTATAGTATTGTCACTGCAGCCCAAACTACCAAGACAGCATATAACTCTAAAGCAGTTTGAAGAATTAAGTAACCTTACTATAATAAAATTCTTCCCATTCCCATATACTTACTTATGTGAACAAGGTTCCAGTCATATATTTATAAAATGAAAACAAGAATTAATGGTAAACCTGTTCCATGATACTTAGGCTAATTTTTAAAAATGCTCTATTCATCTCATTAAAAGATACATTTTCAAAAATTACCACAAAAAGTAAAATTTTATCCAATTTTATAATATCATGAGGTTGATGAGAACAATAGTATATTAATAACTGACCAACTATAATAAACCAACGGCTAATAATATCTCGAGAATTTTTCTTAAGAGCTTATAATCAATTCAAATGTGAATTTATACACTTTTATACACTTTTTTGTTTCAGATAAGCATGATCAGTGATCAGTACATTACACTGGTATACAATTCTGTGGGAATAATGGACGAAAATATAAATTCAGGGAGAAAAGGAAAAGATACTATTTTCATTTAATGAATTTGCTGTGTATTTTTAAAAAATTAATAATGGCGTTATCAAATTATTTTGGTATTTAAAGTAATTTAGTCATTTTATTTATAAAAATGTTAGTGGTTAAAATAGCTAGGACTTAGACCCTTTGAAACTTATGATGAGATATTTTAAATGTCAAATTAAAAATGTGCAAGGGGATACACAGTTTTTCAAAATTATTTTAAGGGTACACAGACAAAAACTTAAGACTGTGGGTCTAAAGAATGTTAGACTTCATTAGGAAGGTAAAAGAATGAAGATAAGTTCATCAGTAGCAAACATTAAATTTATTTCAAAATAATCTAGAAATGATAGAATTTGGCTATTGATGGACAGTTTCTCAAACAGCAGTTATCAACAGAGGCAGCACTGTTTTTCCGGTTTCATGAATCTATCTTTGTCTTAATATCCTAAATATAACAGTGTAGATATCAATATGTATGTGTGCTTGAGGATGAGAGAGATGCAGGGCAGTCTTCTGAAATATTACAAAACTGTCTCTTAACTTAGCACCTAAAATCTGAGCACATTCTAAAGCAAACCTATTTCCTATAAAAATGAAGATGCTTCCCCCCAAATCACAATTACATTATTCATACATTTGTTTCAAAGTCACACTCACCTGTTTAATGCCTAGTCCTTTCTCATGCATATATCCCAGGTTAAACATAGCTTGTGCACTGTGCTGCTGCTCAGATGCTAGGCGATAATGAATAAATGCTGTCTCATAATCTACATCAGTGCCAAATCCATAGAAATGGTAGTCTCCAAGCTTAATTCTAGCCACAGTATAGCCTGAAACAAAAGGTAAATGCAAAACTGCCAATAAATAAGGTGTGTTGAAAACAGACCAAACTCTTATTTCTCCTCCTGCTAACACGTTTATATAAAATAAATGTTAATTTGTAACACACAAACTTTATAACAAATTCTTCAGCCAACACAGAAATTCAGTAAAAATTTAACGAGAAGGTTGCTCTTCTGAAGAAGGCTTTTGTAATAGTCAGGTAGAGGTAAAACAAAGTGGGTGTAATCTCTATTTCACTAATAATACTCTTCAGATGATCAATCACTCTACTCTGTCATTTAACATTTTAAAATAATTCAACTGGGGACTTCCCTGGTGGCGCAGTGATTAGGAGTCCGCCTGCCGGTGCAGGGGACATGGGTTTGATCCCTGGTCCAGGAAGATTCCACATACCGCAGAGCAACTAAGCCCATGCGCCACAACTACTGAAGCCTGCATGCCTAGAGCCCACGAACCACAAGAGAAGCCACCGCAATGAGAAGCCCGTGCACGGCAAAGATGCGAAGCCCCTGCTCACAGCAACTAGAGAAAGCCCACACGCAGTAACAAAGACCCAAGGCAGCCAAAAATAAATAAATAAAATAAATAAATGTATTAAAAAATAATAAAATAAAATAATTCAACTGGACCATTGTTTAGGCTTGGAGAAATGGATAGGCAGATGATGTTGAGAGTAGTATGTGTGAGAAAGAACTATTCAAATAAAAAGGAGTGGGGAAAGGCTGAAATCTTAGGTTCTACACCTATAGTCTATTACACATTCTATTCAGTTCTCATTTAGTACAACATACTAGCCTCCAACTAAAAACCAAAGAGTAAAGCATAGTATGATATAAATGTCCAGTACGATAAAGACCTTGCAGTTCAACTTAGAAACCCTGGGACTGGAACTTCCATTTTAAGAATGAATACCAATCATGAATGCAAACAAGTTAAGCTATAGTTAGTATCTCTGCTTAATTTTAAAGTGGTGAATGACATGATTTAATCTTTATGTGAGATTAAAAACAAACAAACAAAAAACAATAAAGAAAGGTCCCTGGGTAAAATTCTTATCCTAGAATTAACCAACCACTCACCTTGTGAGGCGGCCCGGTTCCAGTGTAGCAAAGCTCTGGGATAAGTTTCATTCTCACCTACGATGGTTGCTTCTCCTACAAGGAAAGTTGAAATACAAATCAGGTGTTTAAGGAAAGGCCCTAGACTTTTAGGCTTTATCTGAAAACCAGGGTGGATACATGGAGCATAATTTAAATAAGTACTGGGATATAACAAATATTAAATGAAAAAACTATTGAAATTAAACAAGTATGGAAATAAAATACTGAGTTCAAAGGAATCATTGCATTCAGGGCAACACTACTTCCTGAGACACATTTTCACCACAGAACTAATAACGAGACTACTGAAACACTAGAGATCTGCATACCACTGGAAAAGCAATGTTTCTGCATCTGCTGTAGTTTGAAAAATGTATTTACTGAAAGCAGTTAATTTTATGATGGCCGTCAAATCCATTTCTATTGTCAACTGTATAAAACTAACTGATGGCTTAGAGATCTGAGGTAAAATAACTTGAGCATGTGTGCTGTTATGTTCTAGTTATAATAATAAAGAAGTATCTTTGTGGCTTTCCTTTTTAAACAGGTTAACCCAAGGCTGGACTAAAATGAACCTTACTCTGATCGAGAATGAAGGCTGCGTTGCTTTGTGCCACTTCATAGCCTTGCTCCGCCAGCAGGAGGTACTGGATCACTGCGGCATTGTAGTCACCATCTTTATAGCTGTTATAGGCAGTCATGAGCCTCTCAGACCACCGGCCCCGTTCACATACATTCTTAAACAACTATAAAAACAGGAAAAAAAAAATCAATACAAAATTAAGAAAGATATGTTGGAAAATCATTTTTGCACTTTGGCTATAAGCAATTGTTAAGCTTGCTCTCTCAATCTCTGGCAGTTTTACTAAGTATATATATAAAAGTCTGGGATATTTATTTGAAGCTTTCACCTAGTCTTTAGAACAGGTTTATAAAAATAATAGCAAACAATTATATACCATTTACTATGGTCAGGCACTATCCTAGTGATTTATGTATAGTATGTATATTGACTCACTTACACCTCCCATGAGGGACCACTCTCTTACGAGGTAAGTCCTAGTAACAAACAGCTCCATTTTACAAGTGAGGAAACTGAAGCATAGAGTGGTTTAGAAACTTTGCTAAGCATTTAACAATGTCCCTCTAAAGTGCCAATTACGAGAAAGCTAACAACGTTCACTTAACATACACTTTTTAATGCTGACTATGTCTCAGATACTGTCTTAGATGTTAGAGAGACTGCAGACAATAATATCTGCCCTTATAAATGCTGATTCCAGGAGGGAGAGATAAATGGAATAAGTGTGATTCTAACACACAGACCCTCAGAGCCTTCTTTCAGTATGCCAGTGCTAGTTGGCTAAGTCTGTTTCTACTCTAGAAAAAATCATGCAAAGAAAACCAGAATTAAAACAGTAGGATTGGGGGTGGGGCAGGAGGGAGGTCCAAGAGGGAGGGGATATATGTATACATATAGCTGATTCACTTTGTAAACATTGTAAAGCAATTATACTCCAATAAAAAAATAAATAAAACAGTAGACTTTCCTACAGGGCAAATTAATTTCCTACATACAGGTTGGTAGAAAAGCCCTTACCTCCACTGCGGTGTGACACGATCGCATTACACCTGTGCCACTGGCATGCATCTGAGCTAGGTTATAGAAAGCCAAGATATGGCCTCCCTGAGAAGCTAAATTAAAATACTTCAAGGCCTGTTTATAATCCCTCTTGACTCCAATGCCATCTGTAAGGAAAATTACACGAGAGGTTAGGAATAGTCTTAAATAAGATTTAGCTGAAGCATCAGAGAAGCCTTACATAGGAATAAAACTAAATGAAATTCAGAATTCTTACTCTGGGAAGATGTGAATCTTATTAATATAGATTTGTACATCAATACAGATTAATATACTCTACAATGAAACACAAGATGACACATCATTGAATTGGGAGGACATTAATCAGCTAGAAATTCGATAGCTCTCACTTCCATATCATAGTGGCATCTAGAGGAAAATAGGTAATTTAGATTTGGTGTGTCCATCATTAATTCCAGCGTTACTTACTATAGTACATGGAGCCAAGCTGTAGCTGCCCATCCACCCAGCCTTGTTCAGCAGCTTTCTGGAAATACTTCAGTGCCAGATCATAATTCTGTAGAAAAAGAGGTCATATGATCACATGGTAAGAAAGCTTAAAAGGCTGATATACTGGGCTTCCCTGGTGGCGCGGTGCTTGGGAGTCCGCCTGCCGATGCAGGGGACGCGGGTTCGTGCCCCGTTTCGGGAGGATCCCACATGCCGCGGAGCGGCCAGGCCCGTGGGCCATGGCCGCTGAGCCTGCGCGTCCGGAGCCTGTGCTCCGCAAATGGGAGAGGCCACAGCAGTGAGAGGCCCGCATAACGCAAGTCATTCATAAAAAGAATTAACAAGGCATACAGAAAATATTCTTAAAATCATTAAAAGGATGACCTTCTAATTTTTTATAATACAAAGATGGTAATATTTTTTAAGTCATGGGGGATTAATATTTAGGACTGTTAAAAAAAGCAAATATACTCTTTTGTGAAACAATTTGCATGTCTGCTCTCAGAAAGCATAAACAACACTAGTAGAACAGCAGGCCAGAAATTAGAAACAGTCATCGTATCTTTTCGATTAACCAACTAACCCTTTTAAACCTCAATATTTCTAATATTAAATAAGAAAAATTCTCTCCTTATTTGTTCTTCCCTGGGTAGCTTATCAAACATTATATGATTATTAGATTTCAAATATCAGACATATCCCCAAAGAAAAATTAAAACAAAGGTCACTACTGGATTTCAGTACCCTAAAATGACTAGAAGGAATCAAAATGAGACCATATTACTGTCTTTTGTGCTAGGAAATACCTACAGATTAGAATTCTATACCTAGCTCTTAGTTCCGGGCCCAAATTAAAAGAACGTATTGCTTGTAGAGACCACACAGAGATGAGGATCCAGGAGCATCCAACATGAGCAAGTAGCACAGAAGAATGAAGAGCAATGGCCCAGGAAAACCAAGACAGCCCCCGGGGAAGAAAGAGTTCAAGTAAAGTAGAACCAAAAAATGTCCTGTGGGGTTGACACTGAGGAGGTTACTGGTGAGCTATGTAGAGCAGTTACATGAGGTAAAAGCCTGACTGTTGAGAGCTGAAGAGTGAATGGTAGCAGCTCACACAGTTCATTCTCTGGGGAAACGTGGCTTTGCAGGAAAGGGCTGGAGAGAAGAGAGGTGGTAGCTAGAAGGGCAAGGGGTAGAACAGAAAGCTTTTCTCCCTCTACATGGGAGGACTTAAGAATTTTCTTAGGCTTGGGTGAAGAAACAGCAGGGAGATATTTAAGTCTGGGAGAGACGGCAGAGTAGGTGGGGTAGAGAGCATAGATGGAACAATGAGAAACAGCTTCATACCTTGAGGAGAAGGTGCCAGAGACACAGCTATTCTAAGAAGGCAGCTGCTATGGTGGGATGGGGTAAGGGGTGGTAGGGAACCAAACTCAGAGTTTCAGCTCTGCTTATAATGAAACGGCCTCACCTGGGCTGACTGGGAGCTAGTTAAGGAATACTTCTCTATCTCACCAGCTGACTGCTCATTAAAGTCAGACGTCAGATCGAAGACTTACAACTTGAACTCCTCTCCCGTAGAGGTAAGCCATTCCAAGCCCACTCTGTCCAACTGGGTTGCCCTGCCAACCAGAACAAAGTGAAAGATTCATTACAAAATAGGCAAGAATAAATGACTGCAAAAGAAATAATTTACAAGCATATTCAAAACATGTTTTAGTACTTTTCAATTTAAAACAAAATTTTCTCCTTCCCATCAGACTAAACATGATACTGAGTTTTAGAGATTTGACTTTCAGTAATTGCTGAAAGAGTAAATACACTTACAATTAAATTTTGGTGACTTACCTTATGATTATCTGTTTCATGAATTTATGATATAAAACATGACATGTATTTAATCTTTTCAAAATTAAAAGTAGGTCATTTTTTTTCTTTTTGGTAGTTTTCCACTGGTAACCTCCCACCCCAATAAAGAAGATGCTGCCATGGGGCAGAATCAACAAATTAATATTGGGATCAGGTGGCAAGGATATGCTTAAGACTGTTGGAATGTTGTGGAGCAAAGACAATCATTGTTTTAAGACCGAAAAGAGAAAAATCTAGTATTCACCTAAACTCAGAAGGACAGAGGCATCTTTAAAAAAAAGGGTCACAGTGCCCCTTTGGGAAACACTCCACTGACATTTGGGACTACAGTAACATGTACTAGTTGACAAAGAGGTCAGTGTACACACTGGAGCCAGAGGGTCTTAAATATTCATAGGCAGCTTTCTCTGGGCCAAAGAAAGCCTAACTTATGTATCATGGTTATCAAAACTACCCAGTCATGTAAGCTTTAAACCTCAAGTTGCAACACAAATAGGATAAATTATATAACACCCAATTCCATTACTAAAATCATTATTTCCCTGATCAGGAAACTTCTCAATGAAATTGAAACAGAGAATTAATATTCAATAATCCGGTCCCTAAAAAAAATACATACTGCTTTTTACTGAGTAGGTTTTTCCTAGCCAATTCATCCATATGAATCATACTTACATAAGCGCTTCCAATAATTTATGAAGTCGATTATGACTAACCCCCTTAACACAATAAACTTTCTTATTAAAATAATAGTAATATGGTACACATTTCAATATACTGAGTCATGAAGTCTTACCATGTCAGCAGCTTTTTTAAAGTAGTGAAGAGCTGTCTCATTACTCTGAGGTACAATATCGCTTCCCTCTGAATACATCTGAAAAACAGACCCCAATTTCAATATGAGCTGTAACCTTCTCTCCAATTACATTTTTCTCCTATCTCAGCTCATTCTGGGTTTTGTCAGATTTCATGGAATCTTTCAAAAAAGTTTAAAATTCCCCACAGGATATTTTAGAATTAAAAGCAAAACCTTAAAAGTAGACATTTTTATATATTCTATGTCATGTCAAATTAATGACTTATCTATAAACATGAATATATAAAACCAGTTCACTGATCAACCTCTGAAGAAGAAGTCTTTTTTATTAACTACAGTTATTTTATTTTTTAAACATCTTTATTGGAGTATAATTGCTCTACAATGTTGTGTTAGCTTCTGCTGTATGACAAAATGAATCAGCTATATGTATACATATATCCCATATCTCCTCCCTCTTGTGTCTCCCTCCCTCCCACCCTCCCTATCCCACCCCTCTAGGTGGTCACAAAGCACTGAGCTAATCCCTGTGCTATGCAGCGGCTTCCCACTAGTTATTTTACATCTGGTAGTGTATATATGTCCATGCCACTCTCTCACTTCGTCCCAGCTCACCCTTCCCCCTCCCCATGTCCTCAAGTCCATTCTCTATGTCTGCACCTTTATTCCTGTCCTGCCCCTAGGTTCATCAGAACCATTTTTTTTTTCTTAGATTCCATATACATGTGTTAGCATATGGTATTTGTTTTTCTCTTTCTGACTTACTTCACTCTGTATGACAGACTCTAGGTCCATCCACCTCACTACAAATAACTCAATTTCATTACTTTTTATGGCTGAGTAATATTCCATTGCATATATGTGCTACATCTTCTTTATCCATTCATCTGTCGATGGACACTTAGGTTGCTTCCATGTCCTGGCTATTGTAAACAGCACTGCAATGAACATTGTGGTACATGTCTCTTTTTGTATTATGGTTTTCTCAGGGTATATGCCCAGTAATGGGATTGCTGGGTCATATGGTAGTTCTATTTTTAAATTTTTTAAGGAACCTCCATACTGTTCTCCATAGTGGCTGTATCAATTTACATTCCCACCAACAGTTCAAAAGAGTTCCCTTTACTCCACACCCTCTCCAGCATTTACTGTTCGTAGATTTTTTGATGATGGCCATTCTGACTGGTGTGAGGTGATACCTCATTGTAGTTTTGATTTGCATTTCTCTAACAATTAGTGATGTTGAGCATCCTTTCATGTGTCAAAAGAAGAAATCTTAAACCCTGAGACAAATCTTTCTTCTCACTCTGTCCCAGCGCAAATGGTTGAACAATTGCTTGGGATAAGCAATTAAACGAGGAAAAGAAGAGCCGATAGCAATGTCCACCTTCCTCTCTCCTCTACCACTGCTTTCCCCATGATAAGATGCAGGGTATGTCTTAAATTCAGGAAAAGAAATAACTAAAAGGTTATCTTAAAAGGTTTCAAGCACTGAATGTCTATATAGTACCAGGTACGGGAACTGATAAAAGGGCCAGGAGAAAGGAAAACTGAATGACCAGTAGTACTGTTTTTATCAATGTAAGTATTAAGGAAATAAGTAAAGAAAATCTTTTTTTGAGATAAGGAAAATTAGTAAATCAGAGCAAGAATCGCGAGGGCTGAAATGAAAAGTTGTTAAATGCTAACAAAAATAGATAGGCAGTGACTTCCCTGGTGGCACAGTGGTTAAGAATCCACCTGCCAATGCAGGGGACACGGGTTCGAGCCCTGGTCTGGGAAGATCCCACATGCCGCAGAGCAACTAAGCCCGTGCGCCACAACTACTGAGCCTGCGCTCTAGAGCCCGTGAGTCATAACTACTGAGCCCATGTGCCACAACTACTGAAGCCCACGTGCCTAGAGTTCATGCTCCACAACAAGAGAAGCCACCGCAATGAGAAGCCCGCACACTGCAAGGAAGAGTAGCCCCCGCTCGCCACAACTAGAGAAAGCCCGCGCGCAGCAACAAAGACCCAACACAGCCATATATAAATAAATGAAAAAAAAAAAAGATAGGCAATACCAATTTCTATGCTGTAACAGGAAGTCTAAATGTAAAGTTCTCAGGTCCCAAATGACTAGCTGTAGCAAATACTGGTTAGATCTTCTCTTTGTAAAAGCTTTTGAGATATAGTCTATCTGAGCCTCCTAACCTTAGGACTTGGCTATAGATGAAAATATCCATTGGTTTATAATGCGTTAATTTTCAAAATAATGAAAAAAGGAAGTTTTGAGGTTATGCCATGACATATGGAATCTATTCATTAAGTATCTGGACTTAAAGGTTCCCTTGCTTGAGAAAAGAACTGCATTGAGAGGTGGGTGATGGCTATCATATTTAGGACAATTAAAAGGTTTGCAGACACATTTCAACACACTCTAAATGTGTCTTATTCAGCATGAAAGTAAACAGGTAATTATGACAGACTTAGCAAAAAACTGCACAGCATAAAGAATAAATCCCTTATTACTGTGTATAATACACAAAAAGTAGGGGTGCAGACAGTGATAGCTAACTTCGATGGAGAATTAACATACTGACAAGCAAATGCTATGTTACCTTTAAGTTACTTAAGAAAATGCCTCAGAATAGCACTTATCTTAAAATAAGATATAATATGCTTGTATTGGAAATTTTATTTCCAGCTTATATTTGGTAAATTGTAGATGATGAATACAATACGTGCTTACTATGTGAACACCTCTTGCTATTACAGAAAATGTTCACAGGATGTACAGTACCTTTCCCAAGAAGGCCATGGCATGAGAATTGCCAGCATTAGCTGCTAAATTGAAGTAGTCAAATGCTCTCTGTGAGAAAGGAATTTATGAAAATTATTAGTTGTTAATAGAACCTGCCCTTGGCTTTTAACCAAAATAATTACCTCAGGAACATTTTAAAACATCTTGTTATACTGCAGTATCTCAGTTTAAGTAAATGGCAACACAACGTCTCCTGGATGTCTGAGGTACCCACCCCACTTCCCTCTCATATCCAATCCATCACTAAGTCCTATTTCTTTCACCACCAAATACTGATACATCTTGAATCCACCTACCATCCTCCATTCCCATAATTCTAGTGTAAGCTGCATTATCTCACAGCAGAACTTCTGGAATGCTCCTCTCCCTGATCTTTCTGCTTTTATTCTTGGGGTCATCCAAAGCGACTGTTCTTAAATCTCAACATGCTGGTCCTTCCAGCCCCTTGAAGTGCTGCAGGGAATACACTGACGTGACCAGACACTGTTTATCTCAGTACTGTTTCACCTTGTTCCCTGCACTCTGGGTACACCAGCCATGTTCCTTCCTGCCTCAGGACCTATACACATGCTGTTCTTTTGGGCCTGGAATGATCATATTACCTCTAAGGTTCAACTTAAATGTCATCCACGTCTCTTCAGAGACAAGTGCCACCTCCCCCTCACTAACCTATCATTGGACTCATTAATTCTCCTTTGTAACAATAATCACAATTTATTACATATTTGTTGGTGTGATCATTTAAAAATTACCTAATGCTTCTATTAAACTTGAAGCTCTGTAAAGGTAAGGACCAAGGGTAAGGTCCAGCATTGTATCCTGAATGCCTTGCAGTGAATGGGACAGGTGGTACTCAAATATTGGTTGAATTCATGCAATTATATATTGGGAACCCCTTTTCTTCTGTGAAAATTTATCACTGTGTAATTGTTTCACAGGTAGGCAGCATACACCACCAAGAATATCCCAAAACTTGTTGTGTAATGGTATGTAGCAAATTCTTAACCAGAATTCTGTTCTCTCACCTGACACTTTTACTAACCAGGTCATCTGATGCTTCACTGGCCTAATGACATGTAATTTTAATGACCTAAAGACACTTAAAGTTGTCAAAATTCTGTTTGAATAATAATTTTAAAAAGCATCAATATTTGGTATAGTTTTAGCGATAAATGTATTTTGTTACAAACTAATTCTTAAAGTTGATATAATATAGTGCTTGAAATACCTTAATTAGAATACTTAACTGGTGTAGTAGAAAAAGTTTCATTAGTTTGAAGAACATTTATTGAGAACTTAATATTATACATGCTAGGCACTGCCAGGTGCTGGGAATGAAGTGACAAACAAGGCAGACATAGTTCATGCTGTTTTGGACCTTATATTCTAGCAGGGGAAACAATTACATAATTAACTAATTTATAATGGACAAAGGCCATGGGGAATACAGATTTTCAGAAGTCATAACTGTGGTCCATGACCTATTCTTGGAGTGGGGTTGTGGTCAGTGGAGACATTCAGGGGAAGAGATCCTGGAATTGAGTTCTGGAGAATGACTAGGATTGTTATGTGAAGAAAGGAGGTGGGATAATAATATTCACTCTAGTAAGAGGGACTGGCCTTCCAGAAGTCCTGAGACAGGGAGGTTCTTAATATTTTCAAAGACCTGAGAAAAGGTCCGTGTGCCTGTGACTCAGAAAGCAAGGGGCTGGTGAGGTAAATAGAGACTGGTACAAGGCCTCGGAGGTCATGTTAAACGTTCTGGTTTCCAAGCTACTAGAAATCACAGACCGCTCAAGAGAGTTTTAAGCAATGGAACTGTACGATCAGATGCACAGTTTACAAAGACAGGCTATTGCTTAGGAAATGCAGGCGGGTAATTATTCACACAAGTGATAGGTATATTGATGGCAAGAAGGGAAGAGACGAGCAATACACAGGACAAAAAGCAGACCAAAGTTGGTGAGTGGATATGGATCTGACTGCTATAGTTGTACACTCCTAATTTCTCACAAACTCAACACTGAATTTTCCCCAGTTCTAGGAAATATTTTCCAATAGTAGTTTTATAAGACATACTTCTATCACAATACCTATAGAAAACCAAGACGTTGATGCATCTTCGGCCGTATTGAGAACTAGGCTTTGGAATTAATAAAACCTTTCCCATCACTACAAGGTATGATCACATTTTTGTTCCTCAGTTTCCTCAGGGGTTAGATCTTGAAAGCTCATTTGTGATATTACCAACATCCACTAATCACAAAGCTTGATATTGTCACTGACTTAGCAAGAAATATATCTGGAGCATCATTTCTTGCTACAATATGAAATGTAAAGCCCTAATAACAGGAAGGTTACCTGATGGTTTTGTTCTACTCCACGGCCTCCGTGCAGATGCAGCTGTCCCAGACCAACCTGAAAATGAACAAAAAGGAGGCAAGAGTAAATGGCAGCACCTGCCTATGGCATGTAATGAAATTAGACCAACAAGAAACCATTTGGTCACAAAAAGGTTTCTGTTCACAACACAGAAAATTAAACATTTAGTCTTAATTCCCTAAGATATTACTCTAACTTACATTTTTTTGTTGTTGTTTTAAAGACTCTTTTGATGTGGACAATTTTTTTTTTTTTTTTTTTTTTTTTTGCGGTATGCGGGCCTCTCACTGCTGTGGCCTCTCTCGTTGCGGAGCATAGGCTCCAGACGCGCAGGCTCAGCGGCTATGGCTCACGGGCCCAGCCTCTCCGAGGCATGTGGGATCTTCCCGGACCGGGGCATGAACCCGTGTCCCCTGCATCGGCAGGCGGACTCTCAACCACTGCGCCACCAGGGAAGCCCGATGTGGGCAATTTTTTAAGTCTTTATTGAATTTGTTACAACATTGCTTCTGTTTTATGTTTTGTTTTTTTGGCTGAGAAGCATGTGGGATCTTAGCTCCTGGACCAGGGACTGAACCCACACCCCTTGTACTGGAAGGCGAAGTCTTAACCACTGGACTGCCAGGGAAGTTCATATCCTACATTTTAAAAAAAACTAAAAATGTCTGCTTTTAGTTGCAAAGTATCCTGAAATAGAGATGAAATAAAGGTACTTCCACACAAACTAAAGAAAAGTTCAAATTTTTTTGGAACTCTTTTTCAAGAGTATTCTTTAAGAGGGAAAATTATCCTGGGAAACTTGGAGATGCAGTAAGAAATAAAGAACAAGAGAAAGGTAAATTTGTGAGTAAGTCTAAATTGGATGGACTATATAAAACAATAGTATCCTGTGGGGTTCAAAAACATATAGGATTAAAACACAGACAAACTCAAACCAAAAGAGGGTAAGAAAGGAGAGAAAAAGGAACTTGTAAAAGCAAAATAAAAGTGAGACAGAAAATTGAAACTCAAATATATCACTAATTACTCTACTTAAAAGACTGAATGGATTAAGAAAAATGAACAAAACTAGTCATATGATGCTTGCAAGAGACATACCTTAAACATTAGAAGGTTGAAAGTACAAGATAGAAAAGATATTCCGGGTAAATACTAACCAAAAAAAAGTAGTGTAGCTATGCCAGTATCAGGCAAAATACAACTAAAGTAAAAAATATTTCTGGAGATAAAAGAGGTCATTTCATGATACAAAAGTTAGCTCAACAGAAAGATAACAATATTAAGTTATGCATCCACATGGTTTAAAATATATAAATCAAAACTGATAAAACTAAAAGGAGAAAGAGACAAATTCACAATCAGAGTGGAAAATTTCAGCAATATTGTCTCAGCATTTGACAGAAAAAGCAGCCAAATTCAGTAGGGATTCAAAAGATTTGAACAGTAGGATTAAGAAACACGACAATTGACACATATCAAACACTACACCCAACGACTGCAGAAATTCACATTCTCTTTAGCCCACAGAATATTTGCCCAAACTGACCAAGATGGGGCATCAAGCAAGTTTCAAGAACTCTCAAACAACTGAAGTCATACAGAGCATATACTGACTACAGTAGATTAAGCCAGATATCAGCAACAAAAAAGGTAAGCAGAAAATTCCCATGTACAGTTGTCCCTTGGCATCCATGGGGGACTGGTTCCAGGAACCCCACAGATACCAAAATCTGCAGATGCCAAGTCCCTTATATAAAATGGCATAGTATGTGCACGTAACCCATGTACAACCTCCCGTACACTTTAAATCATTTCTATATTACTTATAATACTTAATGTAAATGCTATGTAAATAGTTGTAAATACAATGTAAATACTACGTAAATAGCTGCCAGTGTGTGACAAAGTTTGCTTTTAGGAACTTTCTGAAAAAAAAATTTGTTTTCAAATTTTTTGATCCACAGTTAGTTGAATCTTTGGATGCAGAACCTGCTGTTACAAAGGGCTGACTGTATGTGGAAACTAAGCAATTCATTTCTAAATTACACACGGGTCAAAAGAAATCACGATGAAAATTAGAGCTAAATATAATGAAAATATGATAGTGGGAGAATGTATTATACTAGCTATCAAGTTCTATAAAGCTATGAAAATTTGAGACAGTATTTGCACAAGACGTGTACAAGAAAATGCAGAGCATTATTTGTAACAGCCCAAATCTGGGAAGAATAAAATGGATAAATTGTGGTAGTTTCATACAATGAAATACTATATAGCAATGCAAATGAATGAATTACAGCTATGTGAAAACACATGGATTGATTTCACAAAAACATAGTGCTGAGTAAAAGAAGTTGATACCAAAAAAATGCTGTATGATTTATTTTTACATAAGACTCCTTCAAAAACAGGCCAAACCAATCTATGGTGTTAGACGCCAGCTCAGTGGTTACCTACGGGCAAGTGGAAAGAGTTAGGGAAGAAGAGGTCCAAAGAGGGGCTTCCAGGGTCCTAGTTACACCACACAAGAGGCTCCCTTGCTGATAATTCATTGAGCTGTACTTCAGTTTTGTGTACTTTTCTGTATTCATGTCATAACTCAGTAAGTAAAAAAAAAAAGAAAATGATATACTATACCACACACTTTTTTCTTTAACTTGAGATTTTCTTTTAATACACTGAAATCAGCTTTCTACATTAAGTAGTATTCTACATAATTTTTAATGACTGCATAGAATCCCATTATATTGGAGTGTCATATGTGAGCCAATTCCCTATTGTTAAGCATTTAGTGTTTTGAATTTTAATTGGTGTCATATAAAAGAAAGATGTATAATCAGAAGAGGCAACTTTATTTTAATTTCCATGAGCTAAGATATGGCTTAAGTTTTTTTCTTTTTTTAAAAAAATATTCCCTTCTATTAGTCTGAAAATTAACTGTCCTTAAAATGGACAGCAAAGTTCTTTTTATTTTAATATCATCAAAACAACCCATGAAACAGCATATTATACATGATACTTTGATGTACTGAATATATAATACAGTTTACATTAAACAAGCCTACTTCTGTCCTTGACCTTGAGAAAATTATAGTCTAAGATAAGGAAAGGAAACATGGATAGCTCTGAAGAGCATCTGAAATTCCAAATGTGCCAGAGACTTTTTGTTTGGGGGGGTGACAGTTTCCATCCTGGGTGACCCCTGGAAGAGCCTTCATCACCACCACAACGCCACTCCATTTAAGCAGCAGTTTCCAACTGGGGTACACAGCGGAGTCTCTCCGGCCAGCTTTCACGGAACCATCAGTATGCCTGGGCCACATCCCAGGTGAGTCCAAAGGGAAGGTCGTGAGAGTGTGGTAATCATGTAGCTAATAATAGCTCCGTGAAAATGTTATAGATGTAAGTGCTTGCCCCCAGAGGCTGTCACATACAAGGCAGTAAGATCTCGCGGGAGATGTTTAAACACATACCTGTGCTTGCACATCACCTTTTTCAGCTAAGAACTGGTAATACTGAATCAAATCTTCTTCAAGCATTCCACTGTTCATTCCTGGATTTTCCACCTCGTCAGGCAGCCGTATTCTCTGTACTACTGAGCCTCCCGTCAGTGAGATATCACTAGCAACTGAAATGTGGACAAAGTAACGATGGGGATGCAAGTCAGAGGGATTGTCCCACAGAGGGAAGTACAATTCCAGCTGCCAAATGCTGACAGACACTATGTTAAAGGAAATTGTTTCCATAGTGGTCTATAGAGTACAAAATAGTAATCTAAATTCAGGGGTTTTTTTCCCACATAATATTAAGAAGTGGAATCCAAAGCAAATTTTTGAAAAGTACTTCTTAATCAACTAGTGTAAAGATGATTCTACTTGAGTGAAACAGTCACAGTATTTCAAGTAGTACAATGAAAACAGATGTATTTAAAATTAATTCTGTTTGGATTTTTTTTTTTTGCTTTTGGTAAGGTGAAAGGCAAAAAGGTAGATACCATGATTAGCAACAAGACGATAATGAGTCAGTGCAGATTCACAGCTCTGGAGGACCCCAATGCCAGCCCAGTAGCGGTAACCCTGTAATACAACTTCAGGTGAGAAGACGGCAGTTTCACATGCTTCAGTGGCATTCTTGTGGGAACAAATAAAGCTAACTATACACAGAATGTAATTTTGCTGTCTTTTGATCCAAGTACTTGGCTACATCATTTATCCTGAGTTTTACATTGAGGTAACTTATTCAGCAACTTCAACAACCAGGCTAAGAACTAGGAAATAAATAATAAAGTTCCGAGAGCAATCAAAATAGATGCCATCAACTTTATGTATGCAGTGTGCCCATTTACCTATAAGAGAAAATTGCTTGGGCTCTTGCTTAGAATAGATTTCAATTTTACTTCAGATACAAGTTTAACAAAAACAGGTTAATCTTCCAAAGTAGCTCTTAAAGAAGGAACAAATTAGCAAAATAGGGAAGACAAGAGACTACCAGAACAGGTACAGTAATACCAGCAATAAATGACTTCAGAATAAGGGGGAAGATAGCTAATTATAAAGAGTAGAAGACAGAGCTCTCTGGAGCTATTTAGCACAGACTCAAATAGCTTTACCAATTTTAACAATCCTTAGGGAATGACTGTATAATAACACGTATAATATTTTTTTTAACTTTTTAAAAAAATAAATTAATTAATTTATTTTTGGCTGCGTTGGGTCTTCGTTGCTGCACACAGGCTTTCTCTAGTTGCGGAGAGTGGGGGCTATTCTTTGTTGCAGCGCGCGGGCTTCTCATTGCGGTGGCTTCTCTTGTTGCACAGCACGGGTTCTAGGTGCGTGGGCTTCAGTAGTTGTGGCGCACGGGCTTAGTTGCTCCGCGGCATGTGGGATCTTCCCGGACCAGGGCTCGAACCCGTGTCCCCTGCATTGGCAGGTGGATTCTTAACCACTGCAACACCAGGGAAGACCCATAACATGTATAATATTGACACTTAATGTTCTTGTTTTGTAGCCACCATTTAAGGAGACTGATAAGTAGTTTAAAAAGATTTGTGTCAAAAATATCTAATATTTCTTGAAAATCCATCTAAAAATAACTTTTCAATTACTGTTTGAGGAATAAACGTTCCTGGAGATTAAACGAACAAGTGAAAAAGACTTCAAAATTAGTAAGGAGTGTTTCAGAAACCTAGAGCAACACCCTTGTTTTTCACTTACTGAAACTCCTTCAGCAGTTTACCTCTGTAACAGGACTAAGCCCAAGCTCCCTGGTGTGATGTACAGCTGTTTACATGATTCCTGTCTACCTGTCCTGTTGACAGACTACCTGGCATTCTATTTTCCAACGTTTTAGTTGCTCCTTTCTTCAGAAGTATCTCCTTCCAATGCCAATATGGGTGAGGTGCCTTTTAGGTGATTCCCTGACATTCTCATGCTGTATTGTAACGACCTCCTTACTCATGTCTCTCTTTCTACATTAAAAGCTTGTTGTGCGATGGTATTATATCTTACTGATCTTTGGAATTCTAATGACAAGTATTCAGTAAATATTTTTGGAATACACATAGGGAAAATTATCCAGGATCTACCCAATTGGCCAGAAAACTAGATTTTCCTTCTTTGTTAAGTTTCATAATCCCATCAATGACCAGGCCTATAGACCCCTCCAGATTTTGGACTGGTTTCTCTGCTTTCAGTCTCATTTCTGCTCAATCTATTCTTTACATTCCTGCAAGAACTTACATATTTATTTGGAACACAGTAATATGGGCCAGAGGTCATGTGGACTCACCCAAAGTCAATTTATAAAGTAGAAGGCAGATTAAAGATTCTATATTTTAACACTAAGCCGTTTAAGTGATCAACACTATCAGGTAATACATAAGAGATACTCTGTAATGAACTTTATAGGACACTGGTTACTTATATACTTAGTCCTTCATCTATTTAAATGTAAAATCTGTCATAACCCAATCTAAAAAATGATTCTGACAAACAATTCCAACTTATAGAAAACTGAAAAAGAACCATTTATCAGATTTCTATTTTAAGGGAAATCAGCCAAACTAATCATTTTAAAGACAAACTGTAGACTCTATCAATTTTCATCCACATGTAGATTCAAATGCTGTATCCATTAACAAGAAACTGAAGGACATTCAATTGAATATTGGGTCTTAATGAATATAAGTAAATTTCAATCATGAAATCTAGAAAAGTTGTGGCCACTTGTAAACCAACTATTCAATGTTATTAGCCTTCCATTTAAGTCTTACTTACCAAAACCATGTGGGCTATTAGGTTGCCCCCAAGAGCTCCGAAAGTATAATAAACAAGGGCCTGTGAAAGAACAAAAGATGCTTAACTCAACATAGTTACATATTTACCCAATTCAAATTGTAATATACAATAAAGTTTTAATAATATTACCTTTGCCTGACTTGAATTAACACCAAGTCCAGAAGCATAGAGAAAGCCAAGAGCCTGAAACAAAATGATATAAGGCAGACAGTTTTATGAACCATAAAAATATGCAAGAATCTTTAAATGCTAAAAGATCTGAACAGTTGCAAATATGCACAACTGTGGAATTAAAAAGCCTCAGAAATGCATTCAAGGTTTTACAAATTACACAATGAAATATAACTTTAAGCAACTATAAAAGCTTAGCTTGAAGATTAAAGACAATTTAATAAAACATCAATTAGAAAACTGAAGCTGAACACATTTAAATATGGCTTTTACTTGATTCTTGATGAACAGTTATTATGAAAACAAAATGTCTCCTATACCATTACGTCAACATATTATCTATGTGAAGGGTGATACACAATGATAGTGGGTAAGAGATTACTAAATAAGCTACTGCAGGAATAAAAAGAGGCAGCAAGGGGCTAAGTTGAAGGGATCAAGGGAGAAAGGTCACTTTACAACACTAGAGTTGTAAATACACAGTTTTCTTAAAAAAACCCAACCAACCAAACAATGTGTTGGTAAGGTTCTACCCTCTGCCCTCTGAGGATCATCCCTGATGACATGAAAGCACAGGCTAAAGTTGTAAGCGCAGGTGCTATTCTCATCAAAAACCACGAGCTCTTCTACATTTCCCAGCCTCCCTTGAGGTTAGGTAGGGCCACTGCCTGGGATGTGACCAGAGGGGATGCAAGCCATTTTCAGACCTGGCCCTTAAAAACTTCCCAGAGAATCCTCCAGTCCTCCCTTCTCCCTTCGTGATGGCTTGGAAGCCCCATGTTCCAGATGGTATATAGCTACATGACGGAAGCAGCCCCTGACCCTGAGTCACCATATGAAGAGTAACTCAGGAAGGAGAGCTGCATAGGACCTGGCATGAACAAGAAATAACTCCTTGCTGTGTGAAGCCACTGTGATTTTGGTGCTTTACTTCATCAGCTAGAATTAATTATGGTGGAGAGAGTGCTTTGCAGTGTATAAAGCACTGTGGCATTGTAAGGTTCTATTATTAGAGGGAAAAGATGCCTTAAAAGTAAAACCATTCCTCAGAACAGAATGTGTCTGAAGATAAAGAATATATGTGTGAATTTTACATAACCTAATTTATGTAAAAAGGGAAAAAAAGCTTTGAAAACAAAGGGGAGCAATTAAGATATAACCTGTTTATAAACCAAAACCAAGACTACGTAAGAGTTGCATACTGATCAGGTTATCAGTTCTGTGGAAAACAATGGTCCAAATGCCTTTACTGTTTACATAGTCTGAAAACAGACTTCCTCTGTGACTAGAAATTCTGTGTTATCTTTAAGCAAATTCCACACCATTGATAAATCTTTATTATTGAAGGCATTTTTTTTTTAAGTGGGCAAAACACCTTTATAAGTAGGACACAAAACCCAGAAACCATAAAAGAAAAGATTAATAAATTCAACTAAAGTTGCTTATTTTACATGAAAAAACTTATAAACAAAATTAAAAGACAATATAAATATAGATAAACAGCCAGATGCAGAGGTACAAAGGGCGAGGTCCGTAAGAGTCCTGAGTGCAGGAGCTTCTGTCCCCATGGAGTTGGAGTGTACCACCTCCTGCCACATGGATGTATTCACCAACCTGGCTCTCCAAACCCCAGAGTTGAGGGATTTTTATGGAGGCTTCTTCACATAGGTATAATTGATTAGTAACTCAATCCCCAGCCCCTTTCCCTTCCCTCTACTGAGGGCATTTTAAATAAATGTGGTGGCCCCTAAATCCAGGCATCAATCCTACCATTACTAGTGGGGAGTCAAACAGATATTATGTATCAACTGGCTCAAAGGGCAATATGGAATCAGAACATCCGCTACACAGTAGCCTAACTAAAAACATTTTACTTGAGTTCATCAGCCTTTAGCTGTGTCATTCAGTTTTAGGAAACATAGATGATGAAGAAACAAACTAAAGGACACCATGAAGAAACAAATAGACAAACTGAGGCAGAATATTCTGTAGAAAAACTGGCCCTATCTCTAACACAGAAAAAAAAAACAAAGGTGAGGGCTATGCTAGAAGTAGCAACCAAATATAAGTATAGTCCTGGACCAAATACTGATTTGGACAAAAGAGATATAAAGAAAATGTTTTGGCTCAACACCGTACAAATGTGGTATGGGTGTTATATGATGTAAAAGTTTACTGGAATTGGAAGGGCTAAAGGCTATTGATTGAAAAGAGCAAGTTATGGAACAGTAGGCAATGACATTTTATTTTAATAAAGAATTTACACAAAAAGAAAGGTCTAGAAGGGTATGCATGGACTAACATATTACCAGTGCCTATGTCTGGGAGGTACATATGTGATGTTTACTTTCTTAGCTTTTTTAGTTTGTATTTCTAGTTTCCTTATAAAGGACATGTACTGCTTCTGTAACAAAATATCTTTTTACAAAAATACCAAGATTAACAGGAGCTGGAGCACCTGACCTTAGGAAAAAAAAATATCTGAGTAATTTCAGATAAAAAACAATTACCTTCATTGAATTCTCTGAAGATTTAAGTTGGAAAACTACAAATATAATTTTGGCAAGATGCAATTGCAAAAACACCTTAAGTGACTATAAATGTTCTCAAACTAAGGAAAAAGACTGTCCAAGAAGACTGGGAAAATGATCTGCCACAAAATTAATATTTACAGTTTTACTTGTTAAAGGAAGTCAGGGAAACGAAGAGTACCACGCTGTTAAAATAAACCAGTGCTGTATGCGGAGAGATCCTCCACGGAAAGTATACTTACAGTTTGTCCCTTGGGAGAACCTTCCTCAGTCAGTTTCTCAAACATCTCTTTAGCCACCTGGATATTCTGTGTCAGGTAATCACCAAACAAAAGAGCATAGGACACTCTCTCCAGGGCCTTGGTATGGTTCATGCTTGCTGCCTTTTGAAGATACCGATATGCTCTTTAAACATAAGTAATGAAAAAACAAATTAGCAATATTTTGGAGCTGCCATTTTTTTCAAGATCTCCTAAAATGCAACTTAATTTCCTTATTCTATAGAATCCCTCTAATATTTTATTTTTACTAAAGTAGTGTTACTTACAAAACTTACTTTTGTTTTTACATAAGGTACCCCTTCTGTTATTGCAATATCTTGGATTTCTAATTACACTAATAGTAATCCTAAAAAATTAGATTAAAAAAGTTAACTCGATTTGCAATGTGAGAACTGTAATAATATGGTGTCTGGTAAATAATCTAATGAATGATATAACCACCACAACTGTCTTCTTTGCACAGACTATAACAAAAATCAGCTGAAATTAAAGGGACATAAAATGTTACAGGACAATCACTTGTTTTATGTTCTTTCATTCCTAAATTCTAGACTTTGCAAGAAAATTACAAAGCAAAACCAAAAAATCAGAAAACACCTGACAGCAATTCCTTTTGTTTGTTTTATGTCACTTTGAATTCTGGATACTGTATGTATTCCTGGCTCTGAGAAATTACTATAACTTAATCAAACATTGCCATTTGCTCACTGTTCATTCTTGTGACTGGTTTTAGGACCTTTTTACCCCAACAAGCTAAAATCTGATAAAAGTTCATCTGATAAAATGTTCATATACCATATTAAGTTTTCTTGTAATGCAACTTAAGAAATCCTTTGTCTCTGGCAGTACATTAAATTTAAAAAGTACTTATCCATTTATCTCAGTAATGGCCTATCTCAGGGTAAGAATGGAGTTGGTCATGCTACCTACTCTCTTTTTTGGCTTTTCTTATTGCTTCCATTGAGGATTTTCATCCCAGTCTGGTACACCATTTCCGCTTCCTGCATTTGCCGTCTTTTGGCAGCCTCTTCTTCAGCTAAAAATAAAATTTACATTTTGAATTTACATGGATAATTCTGCACCAATTATTTATCAAACATCAGTATGTACTCTTTCTTTTGGGTGGTCACGCAAACATAATCCATGATCTTTCACCATTTCCAAGTCTGACTGTAAAGACACATGGTTTTCAGTATGGCCTTTATCTGACGAAAGATAAGACTTAGGAAAAAAAAACCTCATTGAAATCACTTTCTTTCAGAGAAAGCAATATCAACCTGCTTTTGGAGGGTACTTTTCTGCTAGTAATTCTAACTTTTTATATAATTCAACTAAAATTTCAGTAGAAGCTTATGATTATATATGCCAAGGTTAGCTAAAATCAGGACAGTAAAAAACAGAAAAATACTGTTGTAGTCAAAGAACACTTCAGTCTCACCTGAAATGCTGTATATTTTACAAGGAGAAAGTATTTGATTAATTACATAACAAAAATTAGTAAAAAAACTGATTTTTATTAACTACAGATCCTGATTAATTAGTGTTCAAGTTCTCTACTTTTATCCAATGCACTAATACAACCCTGAAAATCACAGAATTATTGATTTCTCAAAAATTATTTTGTTACTCTAATATAGCATTTAACAGAAATATAGAACTCACCAAGAGACATTTGAGTATTTCACGAGGACTAATATTTACAGGAACAGAAGTGAGCTGTTCTTGCAATATAAAAACAAAATCTGATGTGTTAAACTGGAGTACTTAATCATACTGGCCTACATCCAAAGACAGACTGTATGACATATTCTAGGAAAGCCTAAATAGTCTATCAGAGCCATTAATCTGAAAATGTCTTTTGGTATCAAATGAGGTATATTCAAGGTTTTCTGTTGTTTTTTATTAGTTAGAAAGTTTCTCCCAAAAACACAGCTTGCTTGCATTTAGAAGTCAGTCCCTTCATACTGACATGAACACTTAGGACAGTTAAACATACTATATTTGTCAAATGTTACCTTAGCACAGTGCATTTCGCTCTAGTATTTAGGAAAGGTATGATCTTTTTTTTTTTTTTTTTTTTTTTTGCGGTACACGGGCCTCTCACTGTTGTGGCCTCTCCCATTGTGGAGAACAGGCTCCAGACGCGCAGGCTCAGTGGGCATGGCTCACGGGCCCAGCCACTCCACGGCCATGTGGGATCCTCCCAGACCGGGGCACGAACCCGTGTCCCCTGCATAGGCAGGCGGACTCTCAACCACTGCACCACCAGGGAAGCCCTATCTTTTTTTTAACCACTATTAATTAACCTTCACCATAATGTTCTATTTCCTTTATTGCCAAATAATGTTTCACATTAATTAACTTAGCAGCCTGCCTGAGAGTTTCAGAACAACCCGTGCACACCAATGGAAAACCACCTCTAAATAAGGCACAAGTGTGATAAGCCACCTGAGTGATGGCCTGGAAGTAAGTACACTGCATGCTTCCTTCGCTGATGTCCAGGCTTTAAGGCAACAACCGCGTCATCGACGTTGACCATTTCTCACAAAGGTGGAAAATGGACGGCTACGAAAAGTCCTTTAAACTGTTGCCTGAGACACAAAATAATGTGGATGTGCCGCCTACTGAGCAATACTTACTTTCACAAAAGCCCCACTTTTCATCTGCCTTGTAGTCATAGGTTGTAGCACACCACAATCTGCCATCTTCCCTCCCATCTGAGGTACACTCATCATATTCCTTATCCAGGAACAGAAAAGGGAAGTGACAGGGCTCCCCGTGTGCTGTGCCTTCAATGGCAGTCAAAGCTGGAAAGAAAAAAAAAAAAAATCTAAACATGAACAGCACCTCTGGTATTCATGGATTTAACACTGTCAGTTTCAACTATGAAAATCCAAAGACACAGATACATGATTTGTAATGGGGAACATAAAAGACCCAGCACTGATTTTGTTCAGGGACGACGTGAAAGTGAGTCAACTTAGTGAGCATGGCAAGCTGACTACCCAGCTCCATATCTAGGTTAGAATTTTGGAAGGACTTGAGATAATAACCTTAGAATATCAAAAGTCTACTGAAAACAGCTGCCCAACCAGTGAGCAAAAAATAAGGCAAATGCAACTGAATCAATTCCACTGCTCAGCACAACTCTCCTTTTTTTCCTATCTGAATGCTGTAAATCAATTTCTTCAATAATATAAAGTTACACAGGGAAAATGCTCCCCCAGGCAAAGTTAATCACTCACATACTCCTCTGTGATCCCCCAGCATTTTATTGGAGTACTGATCACACTCACTGAGCTTCTTTCTTTACCATACTCTAGCTCCCACTAGACTTTGAGCTTGTTAAGGGTAAAAACCATATCTCTAATTTGTTCTGTAAGTTCTTTCCAAGTATCTCCTACGTGCTGGGAATTATGCCAGGTGCTGGAAATGAGGTGGAGCAGAGGTGTCTGCTACATGGAACTTACTGCCTAGCAAGGAAGAGAGACATTAAACACAAGTATGATTGATGTTATGGAAAGGCAAGCTCCCCGTCAGGAACTGCAGTTTACACTGAACCTCATGGATGTCTAGGAAGAGGTGGTGGATGAAATGCTTTGGGGTGGGGTAGGGGGACAAGCATTGTAGACAAAGGGAAAAGTATGTGTTAAGAATCAAATGAAAGACAGCATGGCATATTAGAGAAAAAAAGTTCATTATCTCAGAACACGTAGTGTGAGTGTCAAAGTGGACAAGAGAAGAAGCTAAAGAAGCACAAAGAAGCCAGACTGGGGAGGTCCTGACAAGTCTTACTAACTCAATTTGGATTTTATCCTGAGAACAATGGAAACTGAAGAGTTTAAAGTAGGAGTGACATGTGCATACTTATACTTTACTTAGAGAGGGGACAATGGAATGCCAGGCTGGATGCAAGGTGACCGGTTTAAAGGTTGTGACAGTGGTCTAGTCGAGAGGTAATGGTAGCCTGAAGAGGACAATGAAATGAAAAAAGTGGATGTACTCAAGTGATGCTAAGGAAGTAGATATGGTACTACTTACTGACTAGATGTTCAGATGAGAGGAGAGAGGAATCAAGGAAGGCTCCCAGGTATTAGGCTTCAGGAAGTGAGTAGGTGGTTGTTCTTACTAAGATAGAGAACACTAAAGGAGGAGTAGGTTACTGGGTAGGGATGAAATGGATCAGGAGAGAGACAAGTTAAGCTTTGCTCCTGCTACATTCAAGGTAGCTAACAAAAAATAAAACAAGTGAAATGTCTTAGACATCTTTTCAGCTGTAGCCAAAAAGAAAGTTCTCCAGTTTACAGATATATTTGAAGGCAAGAGTATGCATAAGAATGCCAATTAAGAGGTATATGAGAATACCAAAGGGCCAGGCCTGAGCCTAGGCTCCAACCATACGGTAAGTATGAGTACATATATGCCAACGTTCATTTTATTTTTACATGGAGAATTTAATTAGGCAGCAGAGCTTAGTAAGTAACAGTATAGGCTCTGGAGTCAGAACACCTGACTCAAACCCTACTGATTATTAGCTGTGAACTTTGAGTAAGTTATTTAATCTCTCTCCTTACCCATAAAATTATCTGGAGATAACCTCCTTATCTACAAATAGGGATAACAGTCCTTGCTGCATAGAGTTACTCACAAAGATGAACTGAAATAATACATGTAAGGGACTCATCATGGTGCCTGCCACGTAAGGTGGTAAGAGTCTAGGAGATGGCAATTGCTATTTTATTCCTGGCACTTCTGCCCTGAAAGGCTAGAAAATGTATGCTCTTTCTTTCCTGTGTAAAGAAGAATACATTCTAAGACTAATTTGAAAATTATTTTCAGTAAGTTATGAAAGGCAAACGAATTCAAAATGGTTTACCACCAGATAAATGTCATTCACCATCCTGGTAATCACTGACCAGAGGCAAATAACTTTTTCACCTTTGATTTATCCACTTTTTAAGAAATGATCTTTAATGCAACATATAAGCAAAGCATCCTTTATCAACAACCTCAGAGGCATCACTTTGACTACAGAATCTGAAAAAGGTGCTCCCATGCACTGTTACTAGATTCAAATTTGCTTTGGAAAGATAATATCTGTACAACTGCAGTTTGTAAACTTGAATTTCAACTTAAATAACATACAGTGGTTTAAAGTATATTTGATTTTTCCCTATGATAACAGAAATTTCTGTTTTAAAAGCAAATAAGAATTGTCCTAAGAATTCTAATTTGCCAGAACTTATATTTTCTAAGTGGTTCAAATACATGAAAGCATTCGTTTTCATGTGATGGAACAATACAGTAGAAAAGAAACTGGAGAGAACCCAAAGGTTTTTGGCAACAAAAGATTTTAACCTACTACTGAGTCATCACTAACTTAAGCAGGAAGAACTCCTAGGGTACACCTGCTTTATCAATTTAGTAAAACCGAAATACCTTGGTCAAAATAATGTGTTTGTTATTAAGTTAGTAGAAAGAAAATTTGTATCTCTCAGCTATCTTCTCCAAGCAAAATCACCACAGTGAAACTGCTATTACCTTTTAAACTTATTTTTAAGTCTTCCAAAAGGTACTGACTGGGACTTGCTGGTTTCAAGTCAATAATCTCAAGTTGATATTCCTCACAATATCATTGATTTCAGTTAATTTTCTTCCATGGAGAAATTCTCTAAGAATTTCGAAGCTATTATTTTAAAAACAGCCATGAAAACAGTACCAGTTTTAAAAACAATGGTAATCACTGCTCTGGCATAATGAGGCTGACTGAATATGCAATGTGAGTTAATGATAGCCAGTAATCAAATGTGACACTTAAAATAAAACGGAAAAAATGTGTTAAGTCAACTCTGCACCTTCATGTAAAAATGACATAGTATCACAATCTATTTAGACCTTGAGAGTAAGATATTTAACTTAACGGTATTTGAGAACTTAAAATAATGAATAGACTGCTGCTCTATATTTAAACTAGTAGAAATTTGCTCTTGCAAAGTCAATTAGAATCATTTAGGAAAGCTAGAAAGGTTTTTAACAACCCCCCCTCCCCCGCTCCTGCCCCAAACCCTACCTGAACCTGTAATCCTTCAGCGCTGGCCAGAATATAGGTAAATGGAAACTTCCATACTGTTGGCAGGAGTGTAGAGGGGCATTCAATAATATCTGTTAGAATTGAAAAGCTCCATACACCTTTCGATCCCATTTTTTCACTTCTGGGATGTTTACTTAATAGAAGTGCTCCCACGAAGATACAAAGAGGTATGTCCAAGAGAGCATTTGTGCATCATCATAATTTTAAAAACATAAAGCCAAAAACTTAAAGGTTTATGATAAGTAGGTTGGTTAAATCAACTACAGTGCAGGAGTTACCGAGAAACCTGGGCATCAACACAGATGGAATCAAAGGTCACTAGAGAATGGTGTAGACAGAGCAGAAGATAAAGGCTGAGTCTTGGGGGCAACCTTACGTTTCAACATCAGGCAGGTTCCGAGGAACCACAGCCAAGTGAAGAAAGCATCTTCAGAGAAAGGAAAAAAATACATGAGGGGTCGGTAAGGTGAGGACCAAGAACTGACCAGGTATTCAGCAATTAGAATGCGCCTGGAGGACGGTGGCTTTAGTGGTCTGGAGGGGACCAGGGCCTCGTCACACTCCGATTAGAGAGTGGAAAGAGAGGAAGCAAAATCAGTGAAGAGAGACAACTCTTCCAAAGAATAATGCTATGAAGGGGAGTACAGGAGTAAGGTGGTTGTGGGGAGGGGCACTGGGGGCCAAGTCTTGGTTTTTCTAATATTCAGATATTATAGCATGTTTGAACGTTGGTGGAAAGAATTCAAGAGTGTGGGCAAAGACTGTCGTTTGCCATTCAGTAAACAAAGAATGCTGTCTGCCATAGAGCCACCAGCCACTGCAGCTATATCCCCAACAGTGTACCCCGAGGGGAATTCAGGATGGAGAAAAACAGGATACCGGCTCTATATAGTTAAGATGCATATCTAAAGAATAATTTCAATGAGCCCAGACTCTTGCATCTTCCCAAACATAGAAAAGCACTAAAATCATTAACTTGAGATGTCTGATTTTTGTGATTAGCAGTAATATTTTGATGTCTGACTACATGCATTTTTTTCTTCCCAGCAAAAGCTATATATCCTGGCTCCTCCCTTACCTCTTAGGAGCAGGTCCTCAGAGCTATCTGAGAGGCTGTCTCCCACCATACAGTCCTCAGTAAGGTCCCCGAATAAAACATAATTTGCAACTTTTAGGTTGTATGTTTTTCTTCAGTTTCCAAGAGAAAACAATGTAAACGTGGCTAGAATGTTGCTATTGGTACTGAATTAAATGTCCTGGAATACAAATACTCATATCTTTTCCTCATTTTTAACTGTAAAATCAAAACAAAACAAAAACATCAACCTCTTGATCCATACAGATAAAACCAAGGGATTTAGCTCAAATTCCTCATTTTAAGAGTATTTACACTCTATTAAAGACTAATATTGTATCTATAAGTTTAGATGGGTATTCTGTTAATAAGATGACTATTTAATCATGCTGCTTGTTTGAAGCAATTTTGTACTTCCATATATACAGCAGTAAGTAGCATTTTGATTAAATATATTTAGAGTCAAAAATATACTTATAATCGGGCTTCCCTGGTGGCGCAGTGGTTGAGAGTCCGCCTGCCGATGCAGGGTACATGGGTTCGTGCCCCGGTCTGGGAAGATCCCACATGCCACGGAGCGGCTAGGCCCATGAGCCATGGCCACTGAGCCTGCGCGTCCGGAGCCTGTGCTCCGCAATGGG